TGTCTCTATTAGATATCTGTTTATCATCTCTTCATCCCTTGGCCCTACTTCTTACTCTAGCCATTGCTGTGACTGTTTCCTGAAACTGCATTAACTCTGTACGCTACTGCCCACACCCCATAGCTCCCTGGAACCCCACCCTGCTGACTTAGAGCTACATCTCCAAAGACACTCTCAAGACCCAGTCTACCAGCCCAGCCTGTGCAACTAAGGAAGCTCTTTCAACAGCTGAGCCACACAGGGAGTCAGCAGGTAGCAATAGGTCTAGGGGGCCCTGGGCTTTTTGCTAAGCTGCCCCAGGCCCAGTACTGGTGGCAGACATACTCAGTTCAGAGGGAGGCCATCCCAACATGCCAACAGGTCCAACACAAGCAGCAGACAAGCACATTTGGCTTTGTAGCTCCTACTAGGTAGCCCTGGTCCAGTCACAGGCAAGGCTGAAATTGTCCTGCATGGGGGTCCCTTCCAAAAGACACCAGAAACAACATACCCAGAGGACAGCTTTAGACCACACCAGAGCACTACCCGGTTAGCTCCATAAGCAGCACACCCAAAGGGTGGTCTCAACAGGCACAAGAGCCCACAGGGCCAAATCTCTCTCTAAGGGGTCAGCCACCACACAGCAGTTCATACACTGTGGGCAGAGCCAATCCTCATAGTCAGCCTGGGAGTCAATCCCAACCACTGACATGCCAAAAGCAATAAAGACCCAACTACAACAGAACACACACAACACAATCAAGGGACACACCTGGAACACACACACAGGAGATCAGGGAGATTGTGCCATTGGACCACATAGGACACCTACTACAGAAGACCACCCAGCAACCATTGAGAGATGTAGGAGATCTATCTAATCCATAGAGGCAAACACAGAGAGGCATCCAGAATGAGGAAACAAAGAAACATGTCACAAGTAGAAGAATAGGAGAAACCTCCAGAAAAAGACCTAAATGAAATGGAGGCAACCAACCCACCAGAGACAGAGTTTGAAACACTGGTTTTAAGAATGCTTAAGGAACTTCATGAGAATTTTTACAAAGAGATAGTAAGTGTAAATGAATGACATAGAAACCATAAAAGAACCAGTCAGAAATAAAGAATACAATAATTGAAATGAAGAATATACTAAAAGGACTTAACAGGAGATTAGATGAAACAGAGGATCGAATCAGTGATTTAGAAGACAAGGTATCATAAAACACCCAATTGGAACAACAAAAAGAAAACAATAATAATAATAAAGAAGATACCTTAAGGAACCTCTGGGACAACAAGAGTAACAACATTTGCATCATAGGAGTACCAGGAGGAGAAGAGAGGGAATAAGGGATCAAGAACCTATTTGAAGAAATAGTGACTGAAAGCTTTCCTAACCTGTTGAAGGAAATAGACATACCTGCCAAGGAAGCACAGAGAGTCCCAAACAAGATGAACCCAAACAGGCCCACACCAAGATACACCGTAATTAAAATGACAACGGTTAAAGACAAAGAGAGAATCCTAAAAGCAGCAAGACAAAAGCTGTTGGTTACCTACAAGGGGCTCCCATAAGACAATCAGCTGATTTCTCAACAGAAATTTGAGAACAGGCCAGAAGGGAGTAGCAGGGAATGTTCAAAGTAATGAAAAACAAATGATAGCAAGGCTATCATTTAAAAATTGAAGGAGAGAGAAAGATCTTCCTAGACCAGAAAAAGCTAAAGGCATTCATTACCACCAAGCCAGTATTACAAGAAATGTTAAAAGGACTTTTTTATGCAGAAGAAAGGAGAAAACAAACAAATGAGATCAAAAGTATGAATAATAAATGGCAGTGACTATGTATCTATCAATAATCACTTTAAATGTAAATGGTTAAATGTTACAATTAAAAGATATAGGGTAGCTGAATGGACAAGAAAACAAGACCCATGCTATCTTCAAGAGACCCACCTCAGATCAAAAGACACACATAGAAAGAAAGTAATGGGATAGAAAAGATGTATCACACAAATGAAAACAAGAAAAAAACTGGAGTAGCAATACTTATATCTGATAAAACAGCCTTTAAAATGAAGACTATAATAAGAGACAAAGAAGGACATTATAATAATAAAAGGATCAATCCAACAAGAGGACATCACCCTAGTAAACATCTATGTACCCAACATAGGAGCACCTAAATATATAAAACAAATATTGATGGACATAAAGGCAGAGATTAACAGTAACACGATAATAGTAGAAGACTTTCACACCCCACTGACACCAATGGATATATCTTCCAGATAGAAAATGAACACGGAAACAATGGCCTTAGATGACACACTAGACCAGATGGATTTAATTGATATTTTAAGAGCAGCATTTCACCCCAAAGCAGCAGAATTTACATTCTTTTCAAATATACTAGGAAGTACAAATTGATAGTCACAAAATAGTCATAGGGATGAGAAATACAGTACATTTTTGACACTGTGAGAACTTCTACCTGTCTAGAGTCTCCCTCTTTGTGTTCCCTGATCAATACCTCATCCCCTCCCAGAGCTCTCTGTAGGTTCTTTCTCTGATACTTATCATTCTCCTACAACCCAGTCTAATATGTAGTACTTTTCACTTCTTATTTTATATTTCTCTTGGATAATGAGTTGAACCTCAAACTTAATTTGTATAATATGAAGCTTATCCTTTCCACTTGCTCCCTCTATACTTCAGCACTTTCCTCTGACTCTTGTTTTTGAACAAGTAATACCTTCCTTTAAGGCACCAATGAATTAGTAATTCCACTTTACAAGGTGTGATCAAGAAATTCGGTGAATGTTTAAATAAAACCTATTACAGTAAAATACACATTGTCCTTAATCCCCCTCAAAGTACTCCCTTTCACTTCCAACACACTTATCCCATTGTTCTTGCCACTTTCTGAAGCATTTCTGGAAGTTCTCTATCATGAGTGTCTTTAGTTGCACGGCCATGGCTACCTCAATGTCCTGAATCAGTTCCAAACATTTACCTTTCATGGTCATTTTTACTTTGGGCAAGAGCCAGAAGTCACATGGTGCCAGATCTTGTGAATAAGGTGGATGAGGTCACACTGTAATGTTTTTATTTGACAGAAATTGCCATACCAGAAGTGATGTGTGACACTGAGCCTTTCTGTTGTAATCAACAAATATGGTGAATGCCCCTGCCAAGTGCCATCCAGTGGAAAGGCAGGGATCTTCAGTACAGGAAGTGGCATGTTGAACCTTAGTAACAGCTTGTGACAAGTTTCAACTTGTTCGGTGCAGTCAGTCGGGCGTGAGCTACGATTAAGAGAAGGCGTAGTTTAAAGTGTGCTGTAAATCATCTTTCATCATGACAATGCTCCGTGTCACACATGGCTTCTGGTATATGGCAACGTCTGTCAAATAAAATCATTACGGTGTGTCCTCATCCACCTTATTCACCATATCTGGCACCATGAGACTTCTGTCTCTTCCCCAAAGTCAAAATGATTCAGGATATCCAGGCAGACACGACAGAGCAACTAAAGACACTCACGAAAGAGGACTTCCAGAACTGCTTCAGAAAGTGGTAAGAAAGAATGATGGAATTAGTGTGTTCAAAGCAAGGGGGAGAATTTTGAGAGGGATTAATGGCAATGTGTCTTTTACTGTAATATTTTTTTTTATTTAAACATTCATCATATGTCTGATCACACCTCAGACATTTCCCGTATTTGGAGAAGAGAAAGCTAGACACTATGATTTATATACATTATCTTATTTATTCCCCCACAGCAATTCATATTTTATACATTAGTAAAATAAGACCCAAAGTGGTCAAGTGAGTTGGCTAGTGTCTCAGAGTTGTCTAGGGATGTGAACTATATCTGCTGGACATTAAAAAATTTGTACACTTTTGTCTATGTAACAGCATGACTCTTAAAAAGCAATGTATCATGAATCATCAAAGAAATATTCAATTATGTTTTTTGCTATTGTATTTATTGAGGAAGGAAAGCAGACACATACATTTTAGAAAAACTGTAAATCTTCAACAAGAGTTTAAAGTAATTAAGACTATTAAACTTTGTGTTATTAAAGTGCTCTTTACCAGAATAACCTATTTTCCAAATTCCTCAATCAAGGTTGTGTTATATACGGAACTGTGTGGTGTGTCGTCGTGTTATATGCTAAACGGGGTGTATATTCACTAATGTCTTTCATCTTGAGTTGGAAATAGGGTTGTATGTGTTATTAATCACATGGTTTTCAATGTTAATCTCAACAGTTAAAGAGAATCTTTACCTGTTGGACTTCAGAAATAAGTTAAGTTTGATAATTGAGACAGAAGAATCTAACATTAAAGGGAGGATCAATAGCAGCAGTTAGTTAATAGTGTGAAAATGTCCTATGTGTTTGCAAAGTAGGAAATTACACAGTATCCTGTAAGTATGGATTGTACTCTGGGCAAAGGATGCACCATCATTAAGCAATTGCATACTGAACAACTGTTGATTAAGTACAATTTTATCCACTTTAGAACTAATGAACTTGGTAGATGAGATCCCTGCTGAATTAAGGCACAATCAAAGCTTCATTCTGGATCCTGTGCCAGCTAGGTCAAGAAGTTCCAAAAGTGTTGTGTGTATTTACTTGGTATAGGAAAGACATGACTTTCTTATCCTTCCTTCTGGTTAATTCTTTACCAGATATTTATGGAATGGGATTTGTGCTATAGGGAGTATCAGTTGGTGAGTGGTAGATAATGATATAAAATAGAAAACTGTTCCCTGCCTTTGAGGAATTTTAGTTCCATTTTTGCTAATTTTCCTTAATTAATTTGAATGACAATTTTTTTTTCAGTCAAACGGATAAAAATAATTTTGTTTTGTGTCTAAAGGCAAAGTAACTCTCTCCTCTAGCAAGAAGGGGAAAGGAATGAGGAGGTAAGGATGTGTTATGACTCTGTACTCAGTCTCAGCTACCTCAGAAGTGCAATGACACTGTGGTTTTATTTGGAACTTTCAGGAAGGGGTCTGGATCACCATTTTGCAGGAAATGCAAAAGATGTGTCGGAAGAAGCCCATGTCTGCCTACCGTGCAGGGAGGGCTGCCCCTACTGTGCTGATGACAGCCCCTGCTTTGTCCAGGAGGATAAGTATTTGCGACTTGCCATCATCTCCTTCCAAGCCCTGTGTATGCTGCTGGACTTCGTTAGCATGCTGGTGGTCTACCACTTCCGCAAAGCAAAGGTAAACCCAGGTACCCTGGTTATGATCTTCCTTTTTATTATAAAGATGACCCCCCCTTTTTTTTTTAAAGCAAATAGAGTTTTTCCAAATCCCAGTATTTTCTCTATTAAGTAGAAATCTTACTATAATAGGTTCAGACAGACGTATGATAGTTATATTTTTAGCTCCCCAGGAGAAATGGGGATTAAAAATATGAAGCTTTATTATAACATTTTCTTCTACAGAATGTTACCCCCTGTTTAGCCTGGAGCTCAAGTACTTCATTCCCTTAAAGGCCTCTCTTTTTCATCCTCTCTTTGGCCTCTTGAAAAACGTATTCTGCCAATACCTAATATTTTGTTAATTTTTCCGTATCCAGAAAACTTTGTGATGTTTATTATATTTCATTTCTTATTTCTCTTAGTTGTATTTGAAGATGGTAAATAGACTCAACTATTTTTGAGCATATTACACTTCGAAGAATGAATTTATTCATGACCTTATAACTGCTCTTGCATTAGTATCCCAAAATAATAGTGGTCTTAAAAGCTTATATGGCTTTTGAGAGAGCCTGTCCTTTGGTTCGGTTCTGAGAAATCAAAGAGTAGTATAAGCATTTTTAGGCTTTTCAGTCAGGAGTGGACGAAATGCTAAAATGTTCAGAGCAAGGGTTTCTGGGGAGCTGTCTTCAGTTGGCCACTCAATTAATAATATGTAGCCAATGTTGTGTCAGAATTTGTATTCTCTTGCTTTCAGAAACTTATTTATGCCATTGGAAAGAAAAACAAAGCCTAAAGTTTCCACCTTTTCTGAACTCAAATGACCCTTTTATGTCAGCAAAATTGTACAGATTGGTTCAGATTACAGAGCTCATTGAAACTAAATTGTTTCCATTAGATATTAAAAAAAGAAAATAACTCTGTGAATGGCATCGATTACAAAGCCTTAAGTTAACATTTTAAAAAAATAGCCTCTGTTGAAATTCTGTAAGAATGTATCCATTATGTTAATTTATAGACTTTAATAGTTATTTTAAATAGTTTCATTAACAGAAGCAAACAATGCAAATTAAAATGAAGCTTTAAGCCAGCAAGAAAATGTAAACAAGCAAATGTTTCTTCATTTAACCCATACTTGTCTTTGTTTTGAAACAAAATATATATTAAATTGTATATATAATAGTAGCAGGCATAGAGTTGGGAAATATCTAATCATTGTTACTTAAAAAAATAATTGGTTTTTTTTTTAAAAGCCTGTCACAGCTACAGAAGGTAGAATTTAAAGGTCTGTTTATTAAACTGCTCTGAAATCTCTCTATACAATGCAGTGTATAACTCATATTTCTTTATGCATCTTAGTTGACTTTAATTATTAATGATTGCTGTGGTAAATGGAGTTAGTGATATATTATGAGTAGAATATTACATTGATACTAAGAAAATGAAGATCATTCTTGCTGGATGAATGTCTTCATCTATGTTAATGTTACTTAACATTTCCAAAGTTATTAACCATGCAAATCTCTCTGGACTTTCATACGAAATGCTACTTTACCGGGCTATCATGAGAATAGATATCTTTAAATGTCATTTGGTGAAATTTCTACACATACAAACTAGTTGGAATAGATAAATTAGATATTATCTAGTTTTAAGATGGTCACCTTTTGAAGAATCAGTCAGTTTTCACTGATTGTGACATAATATAAAAGTGGAGACTTGGGGGAAATCAAGTCAGTGAACATATAAATAGATTTGTTACTAATTTTCTGGTTTTGATATAAAAATATGACACAATTTCAGAACTAGAATGGTACAGCCTCTTATTTTATTGAAAAGAAATCCCAGCTTCTGAGAGATTGTAAGTTGCCCGTGTAACACAGCTACGTTGGGATATTTATGTTTTGTCTTATTCCAGCACTCAGAATAAACACTTCTAGGAGATTACAAGTGTAACTGAATAAATTGAGGCCTAGTGAAAATATGGATAGGGAAGCTTAGGTGAAATCAAGGGTGAGGTTAAGATGTGAAATGGATCCTATGGGGGCAGGTGTACTGTTCTCGCCCAGTGCTAGAAAGAAGAGCTTCTTGGAGATTTCTAGGAACAGTGCAAAGAGGAAAAAAAAGGAAGTCATTGTTCATGAGGTAAAAACTGACCAGTCACTCAGGTGGAACGTGAATATTCCTAGCACGAAGTCTTGAAAGAAATATCTCCTCTGGATTCTTATACAGAGAATATTATTAAATGTAGCAAATGATAAACACCTTTACAGGAAATAGAATAATAGTTTTCATAGCTTTGTTTCTGTTAATACTTATGAATGTGTGCTAAAGTTTTAATGCTTAACCTTTCACTGTGTTAAATGATTTCAATTTTTTTTCAAAATATGTCAGAAATCCACAAAAACCAAAAAGTTGGTATTTTGACTGTTTTATGCATTTAATAATAACAATTTGAGCTGCTTTGTATATAAATGACATTATTTTTATGTGTAAAAATTTCCTACTGGTATTCACTCTTGAAAAACACAAAAATATAGAAAAATGTACATCTGCTTTCCTAAACTTCCTTTCTGGAAGTTTCCATCCACAGTTAACAGATGGAAATATTCATTCAGATATAACTGACCATTGCGGCAAAAGGGTTTTAAACATAGCTTGGGTGAATGAGTTCTGTAGGGGGTATCACAAATGTGGTTCCGACGCATAGTTCTTAGCTATTTAATGTTAACGCAGGGATACCTTTAGAATATCTAGATTAGAGTTGGACATTGTGCAGCACTCGTGCCACCACCACAAGGCCACAGTGGACACATAGGGTTATCTTTCCCATGTCATCCGGAATCAGCTTCTGGGCCCCTCTTGTCAAGCAGGACTTTAAGCAGGTTCTGTGCATGATCTATTGGGTCGTTGGAAAAGTCATGGCGTATTTTGTCTATGTTTTTCGAAGTTTATTTATTTATATAAAGAACAAAGATCAATCAATGATATATTGTCCATTTTGTTTGATAACCTTTTGCCATCTTTCATTGAGCTTCATAATTCCTCGTTCATAGAAGTACCTGTCTTTATTTGCGAAAAACGGAACAAGGTGCTGATTTACAGCCTCTTCTGAATTGAATGTTATACCACGCAAGGAGTTTTGAAGAGAGTGAAACAAGTGGAAGTCTGATGGCGCAAGGTCAGGCGAGTTTGGTGGGTGTGGCAACACATCCCATTCAAGCTCCAATAATTTTTGACGGGTGATCAAACTTGAGTGTGGTCTCGCGTTGTCATAATGAAACACAACTCCTTTACAATTAACAAGCTCTGGACGTTTCTGGACGATGGATTCGTTCAAACTGTCTAATTGCCGACAGTACACATTCAAATTGTTTGGCTCCTTGGTAGGAGCTCGAAAAACACGACACCTTTAAAATCCCACCACACTGAGAGCATAACCTTCCTCTGATGAATGTCTGCTTTCGATGTCGTTTGAGGCGAATCATCACATCAGAACCAAGACCGTTTGCATACCACATTGTTGTAAACAATCCACTTCTCATCACCAGTTATCAGTCGCTTCAAAAAAGGATCATTTTCCTCACGTTTAATGAGCATATTGCAGATGTTTATACACGCCATCAAATGAACTTCTTTGAGTTCATACAGAACCCAAATATCGAGCTTGCTTACATATCCCAGCTTCTTCAGGTGGTCATGAATGCTTGAATGATGGATGTTCAATGTTTCTGCAATCTCTGATGCAATCAAATGTGGGTTTGACTCAATCAATGCCTTTATTTTGCCGTCATCCATCTCGGTGGCCTCCCTGACCGAGGAGCATCATTGAGATCAAAATCACCAGCATGAAATTTCGTGAACCATTGTTGCCACTGACGTTCTTGTAGAGCATTGTCACCATAAACTTTATGCAACTTTTCACAAGTTTGGCACACGTTCTTCCCTTTATGGAAGTAAAACAGTAAAGTATGGCGAAAATGCACAGTTTGGTCTTCCATCTTCAACTTGTAAAATCTCCAAAACTCAGCCAAATCGCTCAATTTATTTTAGAATGAAGCTAGAACTGTCAACTGGCAAATGACATAGCAATAAATATAGATGTGAATGACTCTAGTACTTCCAAAAACGAACGAGCGCCATCTGTCGCAAACATGCGTCATGACTTTTCTGATGACCCAATATTTGCCTTCCTGGATCTAGAAAAATGGGAGGACTGAAAATTCTTCATGTAAACGTCCTTAAACATAGTTGCTCTTTACTCAGTTATCGAAAGGTATTCACTGAGTGACATCGAATTTGAGATAATAATCCCTCTCAAGATTGGAGGCATTTTTTCCATATTTCTGTTGAGTAAGAAGCTATATAATGTAACATAGCATAACAATATAATATATAGTGAGCCAAACTGGGGGTAGAACTGACATGCCCTAATGAAGGCTGAGGCATCTACTCAGGCATGCACCTGAAGAGAAGCCCGCTCTCCCACCTACAAGGAGACACCCTGAGGGGGCCCAGGAACACATGGTTAGAGAAGGCACCTGAGCTGCAATCTGAGTGTCACTCCCTCTTTCCTGTTTCTCCAGCATGGGAACCAGATTCTTTAGTCCAGTTTCACGAGAATTCATGGTATGTGACACCTTAAATACTTTGTGTATGGACTAGATTTTATTTAGGGCCCATTAGAAATAGATGTTTTGGGAACTTACGCCCCTTTTATTGATATGATATTATTTCTTCTGTAAATTGACAGAAATGACCACACTAACAAATCAAAAATGGGAAAAGCAATGCCAGTGTCAAACCCAGCAGCTGATCCTGTCTATCTAGACAGCATGCAAATATGCTGTAATGGTAACAGAGAGGCAGCTCTCAGTTCTAAAATATGAACTGATCATATGAAGAGATATAATATGATATGGAAATTTATGTCTTTCAGTTGCACTGTTCTAAGGAAGTTTTGTTTTGTTTTATTTTGTTTTGTGTTGTTTTGAAGTCCATTTGGATACATAAGGTTTACCC